GATAAAATAAAATTATCTTTTGTAAATACTATTTATCTAATTTAATCATTTTCCCTACTTTTCATATCTTGTTTCGACTGGGCACTTTTGGTCAATTACGTTAAAAAACATTAATTTAGTTCATGTTTGTGGAAACGAAATTGCAAATTATACATCCCTAAATTGTGCTTGTGTGTGTCGTGGCAACGCCGCGTTGCTATCTTCCATAAGAAATACATGGCCCTATCTCTGCAATGTTATTTTCTAAACGTAGAACGTAGTATAGAAAATATTACAGCAGAACCTCTATCCTAACAGAGTCTATATAAATCACAATCTTAGTATTGCAAACCTATATAAGGGTTACTACATTGCATGATGTAAAGAGTGTAATATTATTTCAGTTGAAGATCAGTACTAAACATTTTTTAGACTACAACATCCTTTTAGAATACAACATACTTGATATGGAGTTTTAGAACACCAGCTCTAAATTTAAAATCTTATATGAATGGCCACTCAATGAGAAAAAAACTAAGTGAGATTGAAATCTTATGTAACCAAATTGTTTGTACCTGATATTGTGATAAAACAGAGTCATGGTTATATCAGGAAGATGAGAAGTTCTTTAACATCAATAGTTATCAGTCATTTTGGGTAAGCAGAGAAAAGTGAGGTGGTGGTGTTGGTATTTTATTAAAAGATCTCTACATAGTTATTGTAATTACTTAATATAAACATGTTCAATGTTATTTGTTTATATTGAAAAAGTCAATATAATTTTTGGTGTAATATATAGTCCATGAGTTTTTAGCATAAATGAATTTTTATACTATTTTAGAAAACAAACTTAACTTGTTTAATGACCTGAACAAGAATTGCTGGATTAAGTGTGATATTAATGTGGACAATCTATCAAGTACCAAACCAAGAAATGTTTCTCTGTAAATCAAAGTATACCTACTAGAGTCACAAGTAATACAAAAACACTTACAAGACTATACATTTACCAATACTAAATCAAATCATTGGGTTGCAGAAGCATGTAACAGTGATCAGTGAATTCAAATATTGTGTAGTCAAACCCAATTCAATCAATCTGAACACTATTGCATGTGTAATAGGTTAAATAAAGACAGATTTAAGTAAGTTATTTCAATTACTAGACAAAATCTAGGTTGACCCCAACATTTTATGTGATGATATAATTAGAACCTTCTAAAGAAATAAGCTACTTCAATGCATTTTACAAGGTAAAATTGAAGGAAAAGGGCTCCAGGACGAAGAAGAATATCCTGGCTTGCTAACCTGAGAGCATAGTGTAGAAAGACCTCAACACAGCTATTTCGTATAGCAACCAACAAACTCATCGTAGCCAAAATGATTGCCAACATTCAAAACGGACAGGCACCCTAAGAAGAAACGAAAACTCACACAGTAAAAACATATCAGTAGATGACAAAGATATTGAGCCAGTTGACTCCTATAAATACTTGGGCCATGAGATCAGAATAAACCTAGACAAAAAAACAATTGAACTGAAAAGAAGAATAAATCACGCTTGGGCTGCATTTGGAAAGATGAATATTTTTAGGTCTAAGATTCCAATGTGTCTGAAAACAAAAATATTTGAACAGTGTATTTTGCGATAACCTACAGCTCAGAAACCCTAAACTGACAAGAACAATAGTGAGTAAACTACAAGTTGCGGAAAGGGCAATGCAGAGAATAATGTAGAGATTTATCTATGTGATAGAATATTTAATGCTCATATAAGCAAAAGATCAGGAGTAGCAGACATTAAAATAACACTAAAGTGGAACTGAGTAGGTCATGTAGCAAGATCAGTTAATGACCAGTGGACAAAAAGAATTTTTGAATGGAGACCCTGAATAAACCCCCAACAGAAATAGAGGTCAACCCCCAACGAGATGGACAGATGACATTAGAGGCTAGTTGATGAAAGAAACCTCATAAGTTAAACTAAAAAATCTTTTTCCAAAAAATGTTGCCTCATAGTTTGTTGTTAACATACTAAAATTAGTACAAGAAAGAAACTATAACTACAAACAGTCAAATGTGTACAATAATAAACTTTATAAAATATCTCAGAAACTCATCTCAGAAAATCATTGAACAGAGGAAAAGAGAACTCTATCAAAGAGATAACAGTAGCTGAAAATGATCCAAAAAAAATTTGGAGTATGCTAAACACCATAATACATATTACGAAGCTAACAGAAAAACCAACATCTAGTTCCAAACTTATAATAAACAATTTAGTTACTGATGATTCTAACCTCATTTCTAACAAAATCAGTAAGAACTTTGAAAAAACATATTTTATTGGAGCTTCACAACAAGGCAGGAAATTGGAGCTATAATAAATAAATTGAAGGAGAGTTCATGAGTCAGATATAACTATTTTAAGTACTCTATTACATTTAACATTCACTACAGGAAGTGTTCCCTGTGTCCTAAAAATCGCAAAAGGTGTTCCAGTATATAAAGGAGGTGACTCCTCAATGTCTAGTAATTATCAACACATTTCACTTTTACCAGTCTCATCAATATTCTGGAAACATGTGCAAATAATAGAATTATACACCATTTAGACAATGAAAATTTCTTCCAATATGGATTTAGACAGGGTTGCAGCACAACAACAGCAGATCTTATAACAAATATTATTGATAAGTTGACAAAGGCCAATCTTGTATATTTGTATCTCAAGACTTAAAGCCTTGATACAGTTGATCACATGATGTTATTATCTGTATTGGAAACTTGAGGCATAAGAGAGTTTATGTGGATAGAGTCAGTTGTGAAAAAAGGAAGTTTTCCAAAATTGCTAGTGTACTTTTAAAGTATAAGGTCTGAAAACCTTATAGTCTTTACTGCTAACTATGAAGGCTGAAATAAGAATTGGCTAATAATGGCATTATGGCTGCAATTAGGGAAAAAGTTTACAAAACCATAAACATCATTTTCTCGTATCAGGCACACTCATTTGCCTTCAGATAGATTTTGCTTTGATAGAAAAGCAAGTGTTTTCTGCAGATAAATGGTTTGAAACTGTGAGAAAACAAAGAGGAAAAATCCACTTGCAGTAGTTGAAGATTTTTATATTTTTCATGTGAGTTATAGCCACTGAGAAACAACCACTAAATTTATAAATATTCACTACTTTCTGTTTGACAGCGAACTCTCAAATTCCATGTTCATCAAACACACTCTAAATGGAGCTTTTGATGAAGTATTGGTAAGACAGGTGTAAAGTTTGTTGATAACATATTAACAACAAAATTTAAAACTGCAGCGCTGGCGTTGACTATGAGGCCTTCCTTGGCCAACCAACTGCTCCATTTACTATTTCGACCAATAGTACTTAATACAAAGAAACTTTTATAATAAATTCTTCCCATAAACCAACTGTTTTATCTCAGTATAATTGATGTAAAATTAATTTTATTCAATATTACCAGTAATATTGAATAAAATTATCTATATTTGAACTAAAATGACTAATATCTCAACAAAAGTGGTGAAAATGTTCAAGGCAACTCATATTTAGCACTACTAACATACTTATTTAATAAAATGTATTGAACAGATCAAAGATTATAGCTATTGTAAATAAAATAAAAAATTTTGGGCAATTACATAGACTTTGATGGTACACAAGGCAAATATTGAACACAGTAGTTAATCAAATCTTGCCCAAGTACTTTCGATCACAAGATCATCCTCAGGGGCATTTCGTCAATTGTGGCCTATCCAGCAGTAATAGAATGTTATAAATGTAAATTGGGAAGCCTCCGGCTTGTATATAAAATGTAGCTTCTCCATTTCTTAAATTTTAAAGTGTTTGTCTTTGTTTAGTGTATTTGTTATGTCACAATTTACATTTATAACATTCTATTACTGCTGAATAGGCCACAATTGACGAAATGCCCCTGAGGATGATCTTGTGATCGAAACAACTTGGGCAAGATTTGATTAACTACTGTGTTCGATATTTGTCTTGTGTACCATCAAAGTTCATTTATTCGAACATTCAACCTTATATTGATTTAATTACATAGACATCAAATTGTAGATTTCAGACTTATTAGCTGATTGAGAAAGGTTGTGCAAATATTTCTTTGCATAATTAGCATAATTCAGGTCAAATTAATAAGTATGAAGAGATAAAGGATATACAAAATATTGCTTTTCTAAAGGGTTGGGAACTAGAAGTTAAATTCTTGTCCAAACTCTTGTTGTTTGCCTTCCATTCTTCGGAGAAATCTCACCTAGCTAGCTTGGAAATAGCCAGTATTGTTTACAAAAGCAAAACTGTATTTTCTTAGTCACTTAGGTGTAACTGTAAATTAATAATTTCTGGTATCCATTTCAGACAGCACAATGGATGTGGTGGGATTTTAAACAACTCGAACATCTTCTGTTATGATCTTTTTGAAATTGAGGGAAAAAAGGCATTTTTATTGTTGGAAATATCCAGAACAGATATTTTCCAAAAGAAAAATAAAGAGTGCCCACATCGACAAAAAATATCAGACTCAAAATTTGAAACTGCTCAATATCGGACGATGGAAATATTACAAATTGATATAATGAAATGTGGTTACACGTTACACCTAAATATACAATTTTAGAAGACATCTAAAATGGCCGCCATTGTCACGCCATTGAGTGCGTCTGCCGGCGACTGATATAAACCTCATACATATTTAATATAACTTTTAACATAATTTTATACAATGTAAAAAATGTTGCAATTAACAATAGCCATACTACATTAGTAACCGTTATAAAATTTGCGCGAAAGTTATTGACCTCGACATAAGCATAATGGAATGGTCGCCATGACTCAAAATCAAGTATACCGTTAATTTAGAACTAGAAGCCAAAAGAAAACATTCAAGTCTCAGTTAATTACATTAACAAGAATATAAGCAATAAATATTTCCTAAATGTCCTTTCTATAAAATATATTGATAATAGATCCTATTACTTACCTGGCCACCTCGGCCAAATCTTCCTCCTCTTTGGCCGCCGCCACGGCGTTCACCACCACGATTGAAATTATTTGGTTTTTCTTGTGTATTTTCGCTCGTCGGTTCAACTTTAGTTTCAGGAGCTGCTTCTCCTTCCATGATGCTGAACAGTTGATTTTTTTGATACAAAACTTGAAAATTTAACTTTCAACTTCTGAAATACTGAACACAAACACCTACCTCCACCGTCAGAAAGCAAATGGACGGGGAACGGTCGAAGACGGAACTTGTCCCACTCTTACCACCGCTCGTACGCAGATAGCGGACGATAGCGGATGCACTTTTAGAAAATACAGTGTGTAATTTTGAGTATAGATGTCACACTGTCTGTACAACACTGTAATACAATTTTAAAAGAGAAAGAATAAAAGATTTTAATTATAAATACTCTAAGTATATAAAAAAATTGTATAGTAATAATGTATTTTTATTTTGCTATTTCTCCACAGCCATCATTGCTTGGGGTAGTTTATTTAAGTTTTTTGCTAAAATTTATTTGCAAATTGTCTACCAGAGACGTGGCAACGTTGATATTGTCGTATAATCAATGTCCTGTGGAGTAATATTTGAGATTTGTAAAAACATAACCTAAGAATTAAAGCTGCCAAAATTTAGTTGTAATTTAATACCTTTCCATAACAAATACAGTCATAATACAATTTTAGTAGATAAATTATTATGGCTGCAACTAAAATATTGCGAAACTACTTCTTAAAGTTAAACAGGACAACTTGCAGAAATTTTAGCAGAATTAATCCTAAGACACTACAAAAACAATATCCATCTTTTCTATATTTTCTAGGTGGCTCTGCAACTTTACTGTTTGCCTATAAATTTAAATATTTTCCGAAAGTGTATGCGGCTCAATCAAAAAACGTAAGTTCTTACTGATTTTTAATCAATGATAATATACTTCGTTTTAGGATGACGATGTAAAAGTAGTGAAATTAACTTCAAGAGAAAAACGATTTATCAGATTTTCCTCTGTGGAATACGATGGTCAGCTGTACATGACACCTCAAGATTTTCTTGAGTCTGTAGTTGAGGCAGAGCCAAGACGTAAGTTATAATTTATTTTAAGAAAATATAAACTGTATTTAATTATAAATTCAAATAGTGTATACCTACCATAAATGCATTTAGTTATTGTTGTTAGATATGTCTAAACTCTTAATTTATGTAGTATCATTTACCATCAAAAAATATACCTGTACTCTCTTTGTTTAATAGCAAGATTGAAGAGAAAAGTACTTAACCAGAAGGAACTCGAGAAAATCAGAGATGGTACACCCTCACTGAATCAAGGTTCACCACGATTGTTTAGGAGTTTAAGAGATAAAGGTATTCTTTAATGTTTCCTATTAATATTAAAGTTAGTGTTGATTTTTTTATATATCTACTGTAACATCTTAATCTTATTAAGACCAGGGCGTTAAGCAACACCACACTGCTGGAAGGAACGAGGGGAGACATTCTTCGAAGATCCCTAAGGATATTCAAGAGAAAAATGCCCACCGCTCCATCCATCAGAATGGTGTTCTGCTCAACTGCTCAGTTGAGCAGAGGGGTTTGTTCCCTGTCCATTCTCTCCCCACACCAATCCCAGAAAGGTACAGGAAATAAAAAAAAACTTACGAAGTCATAGTAAAGGTATATATATTTATTAAATAATAAACAGAATTCATATTATTATGAATGTGAAACAAAAATAAATTTTTAAACTGAGCCTCAAAGATTCTGCTAGTTGCCCTTATAAAATACTCAGCTTTAGTTTGTTCTGTATGAGTTGTTCAGTTCTCTGATCTTTGTGGAAGCTAGCAGCTGTCTGTGGTTGTTGGTTGGGTTAAAGGAGATTGTTGGTCTAGATTATAGCAATCATTTTTGTCCCCATGTTGGTAAATGGGTTTCAAATTATATTCTAATGCATCAGTGGATTTACGGTAGTATGGGCAGTTGTTGATTGTTTCCCCAAGGTAGTGTGGTTGGGTGTTGTTTACTTTCCAACCACTGTAGTGGCCATGTATATGGCTAAAACACTAACCAATTTGTGTGACTAAAGTTTTATTGTAGAATGATTGTAGTGATATGATTGAAAAGAGCGAGAATAAAAATTTGTTTCGGCTTATATAGGATGGAATGGCTACTAAAATATTTATAATTTAGTGAGGTTGTTTTGGAATAATATAGTACAGGGTACAAGTACCAAGCAGAGCTTGATGTCACATTCAATTGATTGATAGAAACGTTACACCACCTAATCTTGGAAATAATGAAAAATGTCTTTTCATACATATTTCAGTAAAGAACATCTTTCCCTGTTTATCATTTGGTTTTTATATTATCATACTTATAATAATTATAATAAAAAACACAATATATAGCATACTAGTTCAAGTAGGACTGGATGATATGGAAAGAGTCCCCTTTGGAGCTTTAATCCTTTTGATATTCTAGTTAACCAGGATCAGTGAACATTACTCTTATAGGAGAGCATGAGTCAAATTAAGATGAAGATAAATAGCTACAAACTAAACTAATATCAATTTAATACAAAATGAATTTAATTGATCTCTCCACTTATTATAAAATAACATGGGCAACATTCATATTGCACGTTTCTGTGATGAGGTACTCTAAGCACTTGTTCAAGTCTATTAACAACTGTATTAGTAATTTAAGTATAATATGTATCAAAATTTCTGAGGAACATTTGTTGGTACTTTTTGCTGAATATTACTATGAAGAGAAAGTACTGGTTAGTGAAGCTAGTAGAAATATACATTGAACTTGTGTCTATATGTTACTAAAGATTCTTTAGAACAAGTATCCTTGATAACATTGATGAAGACATGAGAAATATGGGAATACATGCTAGGCAGAGGAAGGCGATGGATAGGGACAATTGGAGAGATATTCTTGGGGAAGCTAGGATCCACAGATGTTTGTAAAGCCAGAATGAAGAAGAAAGACTCTTTAATGCTATAAATAAGAGTAATAGTTTCACTTATATTGCTAGTTTAATTCAGCTTCTTAGACTAAAGTTCTGTAATATTTATTTTTTATAATTAATTAATCTAGACAATGATTTTAAGTAAATGATTTTTTTATTTTTAGGTATCATCTCATATACAGAGTATCTTTTTCTTTTGTCAATATTAACAAGTAAGTAATACTAATTTTATTTATTTTTTTTTACTTTCCATTAGTTCATGATTTATTTTTCCAAAGAACATTTTAACTCAATTAGCAGAAATGTTGCAAAGGGGTACAAAATTCTGTCACAGTATATATTAATGTTTGATCCACAGTTTTTAAGCAGTAAATTTATATTTGTCTATCTAAAATCTACATTTATATGTAACAGTAATCTTATTTTTTTACAGAACCCGAATCTGGCTTTAAAATAGCTTTTAACATGTTTGATACTGACGGAAACCAAAGAGTGGATAAAAATGAATTTCTAGTGGTAAGTTTTACATAATTAAAAAAATTATTTCCCCTTATAATTTTTACATTACGTTATATGAGTAGGTAAGAAAACTATTGGCAGGAAAAAAATGTGAAGATAATGATACCGTAAGTTATAAAATCGCAGAAAATTATCAAAACAGTTTTGAGCAGGTTGTCGTGTTGCACTAAAGTAATAAAGGTATGTTTTGGCAATTTTGAAAAATTCTATTTAAAGATGGTGATTAACTATATAAAATTTTGATATTTTGAATGATATTTACTATGTTTAGACATATTAGCAATCATAAAAACAAAAAAAGGAATGGATTAGGGATCTGGGAGAAGTATAGAATACATAGCTCATAGCAGAATAGTAGAATAAATGAAAAATTGGATAGTCATTAATACTTGAAATAGAATAGGAAGGTTAAAATTTGAATAGAAAAACTATAATAATGGCTTATGGGCCAAGCAAAGATGAAGCATTAGAAAATATGTAGTCAAATAAGACTTCGTCTTCTTCTTCTTCAGCCTTAAGTAATCCAACTTTGAACATAGGCTCCAATCTTCTTAAAATCATCCGCTCATCTCATTTGTGGTCTTCCTCCTCTTCTCTTTCCTAACCATGGTCTCCATTGTTGTATTTCGTGGTTCCATCGCTTATCATATTTGATTTTCGCCTGCGACTTTGTGGTACCGCACCTGTCAGTAATTGTATTCCTTAGCCATGGGCCACTAATGACACAGCTGCTGACCTGTGTCATGTCCTTCGTTGATCCGCGGGTACTTTTTTGGCGAAGCCTTATTCATACCTGTCCTGCATATCTACAGGAACGTTCCCTATCAGCCATTGGGATGCGCCGTGTTGGGGTTGAGGACTTCCCCGCACAGTCTGTCTTGCACAAAGTACTGAAGGACCCCTTCTCAGTTCAGCGTTCCTCTTCTGCACAAGCTAAATTATATAAATAAGACTAGTTTTTGAGAATTCACAATATATTTTATGGCTCATATCCTTAAAGCCTTATCGTTAACACCATTTTTTTATAGAATTTATTAGGTAATAATCTTAAAAAATATTAAGTCACATTATTTTTACAATGAAGAGACATTTAATCCTTTATTACTTAAATATACTTTGAGCTTTAACATAACAAAATTTTCGTCTGTAATTTAAAAAGATCTTGGCGTACCAATATTAGGCATAATAATAAAAAATAATGTTTTTATTGAGTCTAAAGAGCTTTCTAAATTCTATAACAAATTTTTCTAACATTTTTCAAATTTCTAGCCTGCAATTTGAATATTGTGTGTTTTAAAAGGCTGCTTAATAATATTTATCGTATTCTTAAGTATATTCAGCTTTTGATTTTGTTTCTACAGTGTAGGTAAAAGTTTATGGTCGGTATGGTAAAATTTAACAGGATATCTAACACAGTTATAAAATCATATTTTCAGCGAATAAACAAAGATAACAATCATATGTCCTCTTGGTCTCCCCTCCATAAATCTTATTGACGCCCATTGCCCATTAGTGAGACTATTAGTTCCGATCAGAGATATTTTACATATTCTCTGGTTCCGATCCTAATATAGCTAAGAAACTAGAGGTGGGTCCTCTAGTTTTTTTTAAATTTTTATCGGAACCGTTTTTCGTAAACTGTAACTAGTTGATTGTTTATCAGTATTCAAATTAGCGAGTACACAAACATATTGGCTATTATAGTTTATGTGTATAAGTATTGAAGTGAAAGAAACTAACGAAGGATATATTTATTGTAACTTGAAAAATAAATTAAACAATACAAATAGTACTTATCTTTACATTAAACATTAAATCGCGAATCGTCTAAATTGACATTTAAAAAAATAAGTTTTTCCACTTTTCTTGTTAACCGTGTTCTTATTAAAGAACACTGGATTATTTGTTCTCAACTTTCCCAAATTTTACGGCCGTTTAAAGAAATAATAAGTACAATGAGTGGCCAAAAATACTTGAAGGGTAGTTCAGTGATTGTTATGATACGCTAAATGCAAGAATCTGGCAATAAAATTTTAGCAGACGGTAACCTTACATCTATAGTATCCGACGTAGTACAATTACTAATATCGGGTTTAGCAAAAAGATTTAGAGGGATAGAACAGAGTGGCACATTGTCATTATGTACATTTATGGATTCACGATTAAAGTGCAGGGTTTTTCTGATAAAAATGAAGCTAAAAAAACAAAAGAAAGAGTTAAGAAGCTGGTTACTTCTATAATTAAAGAACAAGAAGATTGTACTATTGAAAATCAACCAGTACAAGAAAAAGAAACCGATAAAGAAGTCCATGGTGTATTTTTGATCAATTAATTGGAGATGACTCATCTCGAATTAATCTCCAGACATTGCCAAATAGTTGTGTATGAAGATTTTTTAATGTGGCGTTATTGTATGCAGTTTATTATTTCATATTGGGAATAAGGCACAATGTGACTTTAAAATAAGCTTATTTTGATGTTTAGATTTTTAATTCGGAAATCGTACTTAAAATACGAAACACACTTATTGTAAAGTAAACTTGTGGCATATTCCCAATAAAAAAACAGTAAGCTGCCATTTAAATCCATTTCACCCAAATTTGATTATCTTAGAACATTGTTCTAATGCTAAAAAGACAACAGGTCAAATAAAACCAATAAGTTTGGCAACGTTGAACTTCCCCTTTTTTATTATGTCCACGCGTGCATGTTCGGCGATATAAAGGGCGGACCTAATATACCTCTCTCTTTTTAAACAGGTGTTTCTCACTACATCTCACGTAAGGTCCATACCGACCATAAACTTTTACCTATACTGTATACAGGACTTAGGAGAAGATATGGATATCAAAAAACGAAAATCAGTAAATTTTTAATCTGTCTGATTCATATTTACATGCGATATTTGAATTAAACGGACTAATAGTTAACAGAGATACAGCGCTTTTTTAAATAGGAATTTAGAACTAAGGGTGCTAAAAATACCTTGAATGAAACACAGAATTATTGAGTAGACATATGAAGCATAGCGATATATTAAATAGTAACTTAAATAGAACTGAGAACGAAAAAGAAAAAAATTCTTTGTTGAAAAACATTTGGAATTTGATTAAAGTATGAAAGGTAGGAAAACTCTTTCGTGTAATAAAAGTATGTGAAACCTATAGTTGGAAAATAATTAGAATTCTTACTTTCAACATATAAAATAAGTACACATTACATATTGGAAACTTTTATGTTATGAAAATAGATGCCCATATTCATAAAATCTTTTAATCCACAACAAATGTTCTATGTGGGATTATTCAAATGGAGATCCTGTAAGTAAAATAAGTATTGCATCATATCCCTTAAAATCAATAGTAACGTTTTATGTTTTTGCAGATGGAAAAAATATTTAGTCATGCTTGGAAAGGAAAAAGAGGTATGAACAGCGAGTCAGAAGAGCTATCATCCATCCAAGAACAGTATGTCGATGACGAACAAGGCCTCCAAAGAAAACATATCGTCGATACTACTCTTCTAATACATTTCTTTGGTCCCAAAGGTAACACCGATCTCAACTTTGAGAGTTTCAAGAGGTTCATGCTGCACTTACAAACAGAAGTACTTGAATTAGAGTTTAACGAATTTTCCAAAGGTCTTCCGACGATTTCTGAAGTTGACTTTGCTAAAATATTGCTGAGGTACACTTATTTAGACACTGACGAGTATGATATGTATCTAGATAGACTACTGGATAGAATTAAAGATACGAAAGGAATCACTTTTGAAGAATTTCATGTGTTTTGTCAGTTTTTAAATAATTTAGAGGATTTTACTATTGCCATGAGGATGTACACCCTTGCTGATCACCCCATATCCAAAGGTATGTTTAAAAGTATAAGGTGCACGTGGAAATTATGTACGAGGTTGTCGTTCAAATTAGTGTTTGGGTTGCTCAATCATGTCTTTCAACATTTCATTTAATTTGACACATTCTGGCACTTTTTGTACATCATGCGCATACAGTACAAGATCCCAATGCAGCATCTGCAGTAAAATAGAGTTAAAACGCAACGACACTGGTTTGAGAAATGATAATATGTATATTCAATGTATATCTATCGACACATGCTTTAAAAACTCAAACAACTGACACTTCAAAACAGTAGCGTTGCGCGCTCGCTGCCTTATTTTATCTTTTATACGTCCTAGTGTGATGTGGAGGAAGAATATAAATTATTAAACATAGTTTCATACAACTTATATTTTCAACTAACAGTCAAAATATGATATATATATATATATATATATATATATATATATATATATATATATATATATATATATATATATATGTATATAAACTTTTTACATAGATAATTGACATTACATGTGTTGCTTGACTTTTTTCTTCTTTTCTCTATTATAATATACTACACCTCGCATTTTTAACTGCTTGCAACCCCAATTTTCGACCATTTTTTCTCAGGTAAACTTATATCATCATATTAAGAAAAAATAGCCTTAATTTGATATAAAAAACATGTATCACTAATCTTATTTAATTTTTGCAGACGAATTTCATAGAGCTGTGAAGATATGTACAGGAACTAATTTAAGTCAACATTTGGTCCATACAGTATTTGCCATTTTTGATGATGATGGTGATGGGCTTTTAAGCTATAGGGAATTCATTGCTATCATGAAGGATAGGCTACACAGAGGATTTAAGGTAACATTATTTAGTTGGCCGTATGTTATTATAACAATTAAACTCCGATTAGACACAATGTCCCATAATGTCTTCGATTCTTGGTCTATAATGTGTTTCATCATTCTATCCATATCATTTTATCATCATATAAGATTAATACCAGTACAAGAATTAATATTAAACTTAACGGGCTTCCAGGTTGAACCACGCGATTATCACCAAGGTGTTCATCACTCTTTTTATCGAAAACCCACCCATACCAATCCAATTACTTGCATGCCAACTCTCATCATCCACCTTCACAAATTAATTCAGTCATGAATACTCTTGTCTCCAGATCAATTGCAAGTAGACCCGTTGAGCTCTCTAGTTTAAAACAAGCCATTGTTCAAAACGGTTACCGCGAAAATCACATCATAGGAACATCAATCTCCCACTCAATTTCAACCCAAAGACTCAAACCGTCATCATACGAAAGCTTTTCTTCCTTACATCAAAGGTGTCACTGACAAAATTCCTAAATCAAGACAAACAATATTTACAAACAAAAACTTTCATCTCTTGTCCGATCAATCAAAGACAACATTCTCAATGAACAACACAAAGTTCATGAAATGCCTTGTGCAGACTGCATTTATGAACATTCTATTGTTTCATCTGATAGGATGATGGGATAGTGAAGCTCAACATATAGCCACTTTTATTCAAATGTCAACCTCACCTGCTCGTATGATGATAGGGCTTTTAATAACAGAAAAACAGATTCTACATAACGCACTTCACCGTCTAGATTATAATCATTCTTTTAACGACGAATTCCAAATTCTTCACATCTAAAATAAAGGTCTTAAGACAGGCATAATTCTGAATGACCAACTTAAGATAGAGTGTAAACACATACCAAAAATAGATCATTTGAGAAAGGCACTCTGCCGAAACTGCTGTAGTGATAAGATTTTATAAATAAAACCACAAATAAATTTTGTGGAAGTTTTGAAAACAAAGTTTTCAGTGTTTTATTGATATATTTAACATTTACACTTTATTAGTGATTAGCAAATTGCGATGTTCATCTCTCTTCAATTCATCTGACTAGTTTAGTTTTACTTGAGGTATGTTATAATAAAACTTTATCTAATCTATAATATTTTATTTGTAGTCCTACGCCAAGAACGAAGGATGGGAAGCGTTCAAAACATGTATTAAACAGGAAATGAAGGCACCAGTTTAAACACCTAATTTATATAAATACCCCGCTAACACAATTGCGGTGTATGCCATAATATGAGTACCTTAAGTAATTTTAATATTTCTTATCTCGTTGATACAAATATCTAATATGTGCTTAACTAAAATTTTATCTGTATTTTTGCTTGAACAATATATTAGCTGTTCGTTTCAAATAAAATGGCAAATATGGAACTGTAAATTACAAATAACAAAAACAAACTTAAGTTTGTCAAATTTGATTGCTTCGAGCTTTTGACTCCCTCCGTGGAGCCATCTGCAGGTTTTGGTCCGGATGGTAATCTCCTGAGTACACAGTTCATTTGACAAGCAGTACCTGCTATAGCACCTTTCTTTCGCTGCTCTCATTGCTAGTATGGCAACTCTTCTTGTTTTATCTTAAATTTTATGAGGATATACCTGTACATATCCTTGTGTTTTATCTGATCTAATCTTTGTTTGTACATTACATTAAGTGGGAAAGTATTCAAATTTCAAAAGAAGCAGCTGTATCAACAGAAATACAAGTAACTTCAGAGAATAATTATCGATATTTTGCACGGAAAACATACAGAATTGCTGGACAATAACTGAATCAAATAAAAAAAATTTCTTCCTTGTTCTATACTATTCTGTCATTTGTTATTTAATTTGAATCGAACAACAGCACAACTTACTAAGATAAAAAAATACAGATTATATTATTAACTTACTAACAAATCTCAAAATGTGAATCTACTATCACGAAAAATTTTCAAACATGGCTCTCTAGTAGGTACAACCTACAGTCTGCGTTGTTATTTTTATTAAACAATAATTTATTTATTAACACAATTAATTAAGTAAATTTAAATTATGAATATATTAGATTTTATACTACTCTGTTCAAAGAAATTAACGCATCAAGAGTAAAAGTATTTTATATAAATTAGGAATGAAATAAACACTGAAGGCGATGACTTATTTTCAACACAATTAGTGTTAATAGCGTAGCCTGTTCTAGACCAGTGGTTCTCAACCTTTTCACCATTGAGCACCACTTGTACCCTTCAGAATTCTTGGCGGACCACTTAGATATTATTATTATTTCCCAATAATAGGTAAAATGAGATGAACACTGAAGTTTTACTTCTTCTTCTTAACGTACCCTATCAAGTCCCCTTGACGTTGGCGAATAACATGGCGAAACTGTCTCTGTCTCGAGCTATTCTAAAGAGTTGCTCAGCTTTCTTTATTCCTGTCCACTCTCTGATATTCTTCAACCAAGAGGCCTGTTTTCTACCAATTCCTCTGCGTCCTTCGATTTTACCCATCATAATAAGTTGAAGAATATTATATCGGTCTCCCCTTACTACGTGTCCAAAATAGGCCATCTTTCTACATTTGATGTTATCAAGCAGCTCGCGAGCAGCATTTGCTCTCTCAAGGACTGCCACATTTGTCAGCATAGCCGTCCATGGAATTTTTAGTATACGTCTGTGCAGCCACATTTCAAAGGCCTCCAGACGATTAATGGTGGATATTTTTAATGTCCATGCTTTGACACCGTATAAGAGGACTGACCAAATGTAACATTTAACCATACGCTTTCGAAGTTGAAGTTTCAAGTTATCGTTACAGAAGAATGACCTCATTTTTAAAAATGTCGTGCGGGCTATCTCGATTCTACATTTTATCTCTTGATCTGGATCTAGTTGTTTAGTAATATGGCAACCAAGATATTTAATACTGGACACTCTTTGAATTATATGACCATCAACATATAATCGTGCATCTTGATGTGCTAAACGGCTAAACACCATGTGTTTTGTTTTTGAACAGTTTATGTTTAGGCCAAACTCTCTTCCCACTGTATCAATGGCATTTAAAAGGCATTGTAATCCATTCATGTCATCACTTAAAATAACTGTATCGTCTGCATATCTGATTGTATTTATCAGAATTCCATTAACTTTCACGCCCCATTCCAAATTATGCAGCGCTTCTTAAAATATTCTATCTGAATATAAATTAAATAACAGTGGGGATAGTATACAACCCTGTCTGACACCTCTTTGTATTTTACATATTTCTGATTTTCCGTTTATGCAAGCTGTCGCTGTTTGATGCCAGTATAACTTTTCTATGAATCGTATGTCTTGACTATCAACTCCTTTATCTTTTAATATTGTAATTAATTTGTGATGCTGTACTCGATCAAAGGCCTTTTCATAGTCAATAAATACAGCAAAGACGTCTTTCCTTTGATCTCGACATTTCTACAGTAATACATTTAGTGCAAAGAGGGCGTCCCGAGTTCCCAGTCCATTTCTGAAGCCAAATTATGTTTCATCCTGATCTTCTTCACATTTATCTCTGATTCTACTGTGGATGATGCGTAGAAATATTTTCAAAGTGTGGCTCATAAGGCTTATCATTCTATAATCGCTACAGTTTTTCGGACGTTGTTTTTTTGGTAGTGTTATGAATTCAGACTTTAACCAATCTTCAGGGATATCACCAGTCGAATAAATATCATTGAAAAGTTTGACCAGTATTCCAATGTTCTCCTCATTTATAAGCTTAGAAGAAGTTTTACTAATGAATATATTATTTACAAAATAAAAAAAGAAGATACATAGTGAAAGACAAACGCAATATAAAAAACAAAATAAAAAGTCACACATAGCGCACAAAAAAGCCGTTCGCGGACCACAGGTTGGGAATCACTGTTCTAGACTGCATTACAAGTCCGGCTTATCAATCAATAGTCCAGCTTGCCACAGGTTGTTTGTACTTATAACTGATTGAGTCGGTTTGGATAATTCCCCACGCATATATTAAGTTTTTTTATGATTATGTTTATTTACAATCTACATCATTACAGAGTATTAAGTAGTAAATGTGTTACAGATTTTGCGCGTGAAGCAAAGACATCCAATGATGTCTCACTTTATTCTATTTTGGTTTAGTTTTGAAGTAGGTCTTGGAGCCAGGTTCTTTCTAGTATTCTTATGGCTGGACCATTGTTGAATAATTCCCTTACTGGTTCATTTTCATGGTGAGCGTTGTGTTCATTTTGTGACTCCATTCGTGATGTAGATTGCCATGCCGCTTTTTGCACAAGTGTGTAGTGAGCTACTGTATCTATTTCGTGTGTAGATTTGATCCGCAGATTAATATTAGTGTTTTCTTTTAGGTAGGATTGAAAATCTGACCAGTTGGTGTTTTTTGACTTCTGAGTCAATCTGAGTCGCGGAGGGGGTGGTTTGCTTATAACTGTGGTACTCAGGCTCATAATAAGCGGTGTATGTTTCGATGAGAGATCATAGCTGGAGTCTTAGACAGTTGTTTCTAGACACTTCTTTGCTTATGTAATAATCCAGTAGATCTAGAAGTTTTCTGGGGCCGCTCGTCCAATACGTAGGGATTTAGAAGATTACGACCTTTTGTTGTTATAAGTCTTGAGCCCCAGTGTGTGCTTTTCGCATTCCAGTCTCCCGGGATACGAATTTACTATTAAGTAATTGAAAGAAGGCTTTGTATTCATCTGTGGAGATTGCATGTCGAGGTGGGCTGTACATTGCAGATAAAAGTGCCATTCACTTAAACGATTGCTGCTTGTATTTTTTCTGTTGCATATTTCGGCAATTCATGATATGATATGCAACTTCGGATGATTACTGCCGGGCCATCATGAGCTGTACCATCGTGATGAGGTGTGCTGTATCTGGTGTACAGTATATCTATATCTGGTATAGTTCCATGTGGCTCAAATTTACGTTGGTCCTAAATGTTTCTAGTTGTCGTTTTTTATTGTCTGATGACACATTTGAGTCGTGAGACTCTTCAAATCTTTGAACGGTGGGTTAATTTCTTTGACCAGAGTAGTTTTATAGATAATTTGTATAATATTTAATCGGCTTCACATCAAAACTGCAAAGTCCAAAATGACAGTTTAGAAAAGTGACCAAAAATGACTATGTTTAAACTTATGTACATATGTATTAAATTATTGTAACGTAAATACCTCTTTAAGAGCAAAAAAGAGTTTAGTCACTTTAAACCATAAAATGGGACACTATTCCTTAGGGCTATTAGTGGCATTTGTTAAACATTTTGATAGTTTATTTATCTGAATGCTAGGTGTTGGATGCATATATAGTAAAACTTAAAAATAATTTTCAATTCGGGATTTGATAAGATTAGAGAGTCGTGTCTCTTGCTGAATCGTCCTTGAACTTTCATTTTTATAACTTTTATTATTGGTTTTATCTTATATTTTGAAATGGCTGTCATCTGTTTAAGCTGAGCTGTCTATTTTTTGTTCGCTCCAAAACAGAAACCAAAATTTGGAATTATAAGTTCTAATGACAAGTCGTAACACAGAAAATTTAGTGTGAGATAGAAATAAACGACAGTAGTTGTGGTAACATATAGTATTTCTTTTTTATGTGAAATTATGGACTACAAATATCATTTTCAGTTGTAACGAACTCTAACCTAAAATTGAACCTCGAATAATAATTTTTACATTGTTTTATACTTATTCATATGTGAAACCAACACCTGCATTCGATGAGGTTGTTTATTTATTTGTTAAATCAACATACATGTGATATTTTGATGTTGTGCCATGATCATAATCAAATTGTCTGTATTTAAGTTAATTTGGCAAGAACCCCTATGCAAGTACTTAACTGTAAACCTCAACTATATTTTTATATATTAATCTTGGTGCTCTTGTAAATAATTTGTCTTGGAAAATGCACATTTCTTCAACTCCTTATTTTAGAATAGATTTACAAGTATTTTTATCATTTTTCACATAATTTTAAGTAGATTGCAATATATAAAACAAAGTATTCCTTCACAGGAATAATTTTCTAAAAGAAAAAAAAAGCGTTTAAAAGCAAATGCCCCAAGTTATTTAAACATATTTACAAAAATCAGCCACGTGGGCTTGTATCACATACACCATTGTTGTTAAAAAATTTCAAACCGGCAAAAAATGATTTTTGACAC